GGTCGGGCCTTGAGGGTGGCAAATCCACGTCTTAGCCTACTTGCGAGTAGCACCATCAAACCATTTTCAAATAAACAAACATGAAATGTTTTGTTCCAATTCAGGCGATCCAGTCTATACTTGTATGTTGTGCGCATCACATAGTAAATCTAGGCTAATAACCGGAATAAGAACGCATAATGTTTTCAAAAATAGATATCATGGTTAGTAGAGGCCGATCTTTGATCGGGCGAGAGGGGGTGCTCACGAAGTGACCTTCCCCCATCATACCCAAGTTCCCGAGCCGAGGCAACTTTGGTGATGACGGACACGTGGCCTTAGGCAAACGAGTCAGGGTTTCCTAAATTTTCTCAAAATAAAATATTTAGGTCGCGACTCTGTATCTGGCAAAGTAGTCCATGTTTGGCACTTCTTTCAAAATCTGTTTTTTTCAAAACGATTTGCCGGATTTGGACTCTTTGGTTCAGATTTAGAACCATGACAAATTGAGAGTCTGAACTGTAGTGAGCCCAATATCGAACGGAACGGGGGACTCGTTCCTCCCGAGGCGTTCGGGGACGTCTACAGCCGCTTGCACCTCTTCCCACTGCTACTTCCCCTTGGACTCTTTGGTTCAGATTTAGAACCGTGACAAATTGAGAGTCCGAACTGTAGTGAGCCCAATATCGAACGGAACGGGGGACTCGTTCCTCCCGGGGCGTTCGGGGACGTCTACAGCCGCTTGTACCTTTTCCCACTACTACTTCCCCTCCACGCTCACCACTTGCAGTAGCTCCACCCACAGGTGCCTCTGTTGCATCCCCCATCCCGTCATCCCTACCTCATCCTCTCTTCACCACACCCGTGGCCTCAATCTCATAGTTGACCTCAACTCATCACCCCAACCCCCTTCCATTCCCCACCGAACTCACCCCATGGTCCTTCGGCACATGTCAACCAACCCCAATGCCTTCCTTGCCACTTCTGTTTCTGCCGACTCGGTTGAACCCACATGTTTCACTTCTGCCAACAAATCTCCCATTTGGCGCACTGTTATGACTGAGGAACTCAATGCATTAATCCGTAACGACATTTGGAGCTTACATCCGGTCACTCCTGGTATGAACACTGTTGGCTATAAATGGGTCATCCGGATCAAACGTGTCAAACAAATATTTTATATCCAAACTGACAGATTATTATTTATGTTGTCCTTCTCTGCTCATAGTTATCAACTTTATACAAAACACACAGTTAGTGTGACACCTTTTTTTTTTCTTAATAAATTATCCATGCACAATATCTCTATATAATCATTTCGGATCTTGATTTTAAATTATTATTATTATTTTTTACCTTCTACATTTAATTGGTTAATTTTTATAGTATGCTCATAGTTGTGCACACCATATATTATATATTTCTCCCTTCTAATACTCATAATGGTAGTATTTACTCAATGGCACGAGTGAGGGGGAAAATTATTAATTAAAAAATATCATGTAACATTTGTCTATGTGAAACGTTTGAAGATAAAAGAGAAATCACATTATCTTTTAACTACTAAATATAGATATTAACTTTTGTTTTTGAGTTATCAATTTTTAAATCAAAAGAAAAAAATTATACCAAATAAACTCATTGTTATAGTTGATTCATTAAAATATTATTTAATGTTTTGTTCATCTTCACTTTGAATGTAATGGAAAACTTCCTGTTGTAAACTAAGAACTGGTTTGAAAATTAATTATTTTAATTGATTTTTTAAATTTTTTACGAAAAGACATGTAAAATATAGAGAAGATAAATGATTAGGTGTTTTGGCTTTTTGATTATTTTAATTAAAAAATAAAAATAACATGCCAAACAAATTATTTATATTGAAGTTGTGTCCGTCTTCACAACTTAAAATTTTTTATTGTGTCGGGATGACCATAAAAGAGTAGGGCATATTTACCTCTTTTCTTGGAAGCAATAAAAAACGGCAGCCAAAATGGGAATATCCGCTCTCCTAGAATTTGAACCAAATAAGGTGTATAATATGTTGTTGAGGATGTTGTCATATCTTTTTCTCCATTGGTTCTTTTTGTAGATTTCATTCTAGATTTGCGCAATTCACTTGTATGCTTTTATATGACATCCAATAGAATTGGTCTTGTCCTCATTCATTAGTGGGTGGCTTATGGGCAAATTTTGTTACTTTAACAAAGGAAGCTGGTATGAATGGAGTAAAATGTGGCTTTAAAAATAAATATAATCAATTAAATTCATTTAATAGTCATAATTAATATAAAACTTAAAAAATTTTTAAGTTATTTGAAATTTATTTAATTCTGACTGAATTTATAAATACTAAGGAGTTGTTTGGGGTGTCCTAAATAAGTGCACTTTTTGTCTTTTTGAACTAAAAAATTGAGGAAGAAAATATAGATGTTTGGGTTAACTTTTTAACTTTTTATGGAAAAATGTGTAATAAAAAATTGTAAAAATTGGTTTGTAAGAGAAAATTAGAATGGAGAGTTGTGCAGCCGTAATTGTTGACTTTTGGTTAATAGTATTAACTTTTTAACTTTTTGAGTAACTTTTTGACTTTTTAACTTATTCTGGACTTGCCAAACTTGGCCTAAATATTACCACCACCACTACCACCACCATCACAATATAAAAATTAAAATATATAATTTGAAAATAATAAATTTTAAATTTAATCTTATACATATCAAACAATTTATTTTTTGTTCAACACTTAAATTTTTATCAAATAACTTTACATAATAAATTCAAAAAAAAAAAAAAAAAACTCACTCATCACATTAAATTAAACAACATTATTTATTCACAATTACACCAAGACTACACACATACTTTTTATGATCGGCAAAAAACTTTACTGATCATCATTAGATAACTAAGACTAGCAACAATAAGACTAGCTTGGAGCTTCTTCTTAGCTCTAAGCTCTTCTCTATTGATGTAATATTTCATACTTTGTTTGTTTTATCAATATAGATCTTGTTTAGCCGATAAAAAAAAAAAAAGCAAACAGAAGTGCAAGACACATCAAAGCTAACATATTTGGTAACAATATTAGTAACGAGAGAGAGAGAGAGTAAGCATGGATTTGCTCCTTACTGATATTGTACATCACTTACCAAGATCATTGCTCACGTTAAAAAAGCGTGAGCAACTATAAACTGAGCAAAATGACTGCATACCCATTAGCAACACGACAAAAACAGCAGCAAGAAGAGTAAGAATCTGCCAAGAACCATACACATACTTCTTCATACACGTATATACCTTAACCTTCCTTGTACCATAGTAGTACTTGTTGACATCTTCAATGGCGATATCAATATATGGCACCTTTGAAGGTCGAATGGATCTAGTCATCCCATTAAAGAGATGGGCAACCTCAGCATCAGTTTTTAGACTATATTCGATGATTCCCTTTCTCTTAAGCAATTTTGCGTCCTCAGCGGTATCAATTATCCCATTCATTAGCTCAGTGTATCGTCCAAGAACAAGGAAGTCTGACATCGAAGCTTCGAATGCAACCAAATTTCTAATGATTACTTCAGAATTGACATTCAATTTGAGGTGAGGGAGGTAAAACTTCTTCTGCTTCTTGTCAAACTTAATGATGCTAATATCACCGTTGGAGAGACAAAATTCCACTCCGGCATTACAAAGGGCTGACACTGAAGGAATCATTATTTCCTCTACAATGGGATTTTTTATGTCCTCTCCCAAAACATCACATTCAGATTTAAGGCCTTCGTCGAGGTTTGTTGCCATTCTTGACACCTCAGGTAGACTTTTTGCAGTTGCCCAAGGCAAATTTACTATCATGTTAATGGGTTTCGTAATTTTTCCCACCAAACGAATATTTAGATTAGATGACAACTTCAAAAGCGAGCAAAGAACTTGCGAACCTGAATCGACTTTCGGGAGTATTTCCTCCTCCGGGTACGGAGCTTCACTTGGCATATTAATAGGGCAGGCTTCCTTGGGCACCTTCACATTCATCACAATCAAATGGTACAGAAGTTTCAACAAATGATCATGCTCATAAACTTCTGATAATGAGAGATCCTTTTTGATCAATTAATCCAATCCATTCAAAAAAAAATTAAAATTAACCCCACACATTAAAATGAGCAAGGATTTTCTAGAGTGATTTTTCCCTAAAGTTAAAGTTTCCTAGAGTGTTACATTGTGTGGTTGAGATTTACTGGTAAGTCACATCAATTTTTCTGATGTGACTTGCCAATAAATCTCAACCACACAATGTAGTACTCTAGAAAATTTTAAGAAAAAATCACTCTAGAGGATCCTTGCTCCATATCTTTTTCTCCATTGGTTCTTTTTTGTAGATTTCATTCTAGATTTGCGCAATTCACTTGTATGCTTTTATATGACATCCAATAGAATTGGTCTTGTCCTCATTCATTAGTGGGTGGCTTATGGGCAAATTTTTTTACTTTAACAAAGGAAGCTGGTATGAATGGAGTAAAACGTGGCTTTAAAAATAAATATAATCAATTAAATTCATTTAATAGTCATAATTAATATCACTTAAAATGTAAATTAAAACTTAAGAAAATTTTAAGTTATTTAAAATTTATTTAATTCTTACTGAATTTATAAATACTAAATATTATCACAATCACTACCACCACCATCACAATATAAAAATTAAAATATATAATTTGAAAATAATAAATTTTAAATTTAATCTTATACATATCAAACAATTTATTTTTTGTTCAACACTTAAATTTTTATCAAATAACTTTTTAACATAATAAATTCAAAAAAAAAAAAAAACTCACTCATCACATTAAATTAAACAACATTATTTATTCACAATTACACCAAGACTACACACATACTTTTTATGATCGGCAAAAAACTTTACTGATCACCATTAGATAACTAAGACTAGCAACAATAAAGCAAACGGAAGTGCAAGACACATCAAAGCTAACATATTTGGTAACAATATTAGTAACGAGAGAGAGAGAGAGAGAGAGTAAGCATGGATTTGCTCCTTACTGATATTGTACATCACTTACCAAGATCATTGCTCACGTTAAAAAAGCGTGAGCAACTATAAACTGAGCAAAATGACTGCATACCCATTAGCAACACGACAAAAACAGCAGCAAGAAGAGTAAGAATCTGCCAAGAACCATACACATACTTCTTCATACACGTATATACCTTAACCTTCCTTGTACCATAGTAGTACTTGTTGACATCTTCAATGGCGATATCAATATATGGCACCTTTGAAGGTCGAATGGATCTAGTCATCCCATTAAAGAGATGGGCAACCTCAGCATCAGTTTTTAGACTATATTCGATGATTCCCTTTTTCTTAAGCAATTTTGCGTCCTCAGCAGTATCAATTATCCCATTCATTAGCTCAGTGTATCGTCCAAGAACAAGGAAGTCTGACATCGAAGCTTCGAATGCAACCAAATTTCTAATGATTACTTCAGAATTGACATTCAATTTGAGGTGAGGGAGGTAAAACTTCTTCTGCTTCTTGTCAAACTTAATGATGCTAATATCACCGTTGGAGAGACAAAATTCCACTCCGGCATTACAAAGGGCTGACACTGAAGGAATCATTATTTCCTCTACAATGGGATTTTTAATGTCCTCTCCCAAAGGATCACATTCAGATTTAAGGCCTTCTTCGAGGTTTGTTGCCAGTCTAGACACCTCAGGTAGACTTTTTGCAGTCGCCCAAGGCAAATTTACTATCATGTTAATGGGTTTTGTAATTTTTTTCACCAAAGGAATATTTAGATTAGATGACACCTTCAAAAGCGAGCAAAGAATTTGCGAACCTGAATTGACTTTCGGGTGTATTTCCTCCTCCGGGCTCAGAGCTCCACTTGGCATATTAATAGGGCAGGCTTCCTTGGGCACCTTCACATTCATCACAATCAAATGGTACAGAAGTTTCAACAAATGATCATGCTCATAAACTTCTGATAATGAGAGATCCTTTTTGATCAATTTGAATGGAGAAACTTCACTACAAAAACTCACCACCATAGAAAGCAACACATTTTTATCTATATTGAGGAAGTCAAAGATATTGCCTAGAAGAAAGATTGGAATTTGATTCTCAAGCATCACTACGTCGCGGAGAATAGAGTGGCCAGCAAATTTACTTCCTTCAGACTCGAACAAGTTAGGTTTCCTAGACCACGATGATGAAAGTCTATCTTTTTTGCTGATGCAGGTATGAAGAAACTCGAGCAAGAACAAACCATCAATGGTCATAAACCACAATAGCATATTGCCATCATAGTCCAAGTACATGTGGTAATGAGATCGGATTTCGTCTTCTTTCTCCTTCAACGTATCGACAAGTTCTTGGAATTCTCGTGTTGGGAAGTGTTCGCTTCTAACCTTAGTTGCTGCAACGAGCTTATACCTCTCCATCTCATAGAGCTCTGGCCGAAAACGATGGTATGGACCCAAGCCCATGAGCAGAGGCATGTAAGCATCAGGCTTGAAAGCACTTAGGCCATGTTTGTTTGGGCGGACTGGATTAGCATTCCCATGACTAATAGTCCTAGGGGTACAAATCCATTGGATTATGTATCCTATCTTAACTAATAGTCAAGTTTAAAATAATTAGTCCGTACTTTAATTGTTTAATCAAACATTGGATTAGTAATTTTATTGGACTATTAGTCCAATCCCAAGCTCATGTCCACCCAAACAAACATGACCTTAGTGTTTTAGGCACACGAAAGATCGAAACAGGACGGACACCGTTAGTCTAGCAAAACAATAAACACAATATTAGTACAAATATTATGATAGAATGGATAGAAAATATAAACAAAGTAGAGTTTACTAACGTTCCATTTGGTCATTTTCGTGTTTTTTTTTACTTTTAGTAAATTTTTTTAATATTTTAAACAAAATTTTAACTTTTTAGGTATACTTAATATAAATATAATTAAAAAGTACAATATTTGTGAAAAATAATATATAAAAAAATTCATTAAATACAAAAAAATATAAAATAAATAAATAAATAAATAAAAATTACGAAAATTCAGTACATTTTTGTATTCTTTCGTATTTATTGATTTTTTAAAATATTTTTTTATAAATATTTTACTTTTTAGGTATATTTAGATTATGTGTATTTAAAAAGTAAAAAAATTGCTTAAAATATTTAAAAAAATTCACCAAAAATAAAAAAATACGAAAAATAAAATGTTTAATTTTTAGAAAATTGACACCAAACAGTGCCACCAGACCATCGTCACGACCATTACTTCCACTGCTACCACCATCACTACCGTCGTTGCCACTACCTTCTCCGCCCCACAGTCATTGTCACTACCATCTTTACCTCATTATTACCACCACTATCACCCCACTACTGTCGCCGCCACCATTGCACCACCATCCACAACACCTCCACTCCACTGTCGCCATTACCATCACTACTAATGCAACTATTAGGATATTAATTTTAAGAAACCAAACATGGCAAAAGTTTTCTATGGAAGATTTTTCCGAAATTGTTTTTACAGAAAACATTTTCCACGGAAACAAATGGATAGTTAAGAAGTCTTTGAGAGTTTGAGAATTGCATTATCACTGTTTTAAAATTGTTTTCCCTCCCCTCAAGAAGTGTTAAAGAGTGAAATAATTCCGAGATAAAACTTAATTTGCTCACATCGTCCATTGTCCAGTGTTCAAGGTCATGAGGAGGCTTAAATTAAGTCACGAACTAAAGTTGTCCAAAATAAAAAAAAAATTAAAAAAATTAATCTATGAAAAATCTATTAGAACATGTCACATCTCAAATCATATTTTTGCAGTATTGATTTTGTTATGAAACTTGTAACCATTTGAAAATTTAATTTGCAACAAGACCTGAAGAAATAAAGCTTTGTTTTGATTAGTGAAACCCACAGAATTAACTGAGAATTAAGTGGGTAGTTAACACAATGGTTGGAACACAATAAGCGATGTAATAAAATTTATATATAACAACCTTAACCTGATCTTTCTCGAGGATTTTGCTAACTTGTGTCCACCATCGCTTCTCACTATCACAGCTTGAACCAAAAATTGAATCCATGCCGAAGCTGGTTTGTCTATCGCTGATTTCACTTATCCATCGTTGCTCGCTTGAATTGAAAAGTTTGTTTAAGGCCATGTTGGTTTTGGCTATTGTTAATATATTTTATGTTAGTGCTTTAGGCAACACGCACACTTTCTTGCACGTTGACAAGATGAGAGCAGAAGAGAAAGATTAATGGTCCTGGCATTTTCTTGCAAGAGGAGACAGTGAATCAATTGCACTCGCGCATTGCATATTTTATGAACCATTTTGTATCTTATTGCATGGTGTTAATATATTTTATGTTAGTGCTTTAGGCTTTAGATTAGTGCTTTTACTTTCGGTTAGTGGATCCACTTTTGGCATGATGATGTTTGTAATTTTCTCTCCTATATAACGGAGAGTGTACCTCTTTATTCATATAACATTCAATACATAAACATATTCAATACACAATTCTTTCTCTTTCTTTATACATAAAACTAATATGGTATCAGAGCTAGGTTAACAACCTAGTAATTTCGCTTCACCGGCGGGTGGTAGCCTCGCCTTGGCCGCCCGCCGGACGATGAGAAAACTAAGCACATAACATGTCTGCCATACCTCCCAGTTTCGGTCCTCCGCGGCCGCTTCCGCCGCTGGTGAGTATGGACAGCTCAGTTGCAGCCTCTCTCTTTCCTCCGCTTCGGCTTTTGCCTCTCTGATTGATTCTTCAACCCCAACACACACACAAGGATTATTATAAGCTCCCTTGGTTAAGCTTCCATCCCACTCTGTTGGACAGCTTCTCATGCAGAGCGACCTCGACATGGCCACCGCTGCTGAATCTGCTTCATCATCATCCACCTCTTGAAGCAAAGCTTTTTCATAACTCGAGTTCACCTTTGCAGCTTGAAGGACATAAGGCAGCCTCTCCTGTTTTGACATAGTCCTCCATGTCTCAAAACCTTTTCGATCGACTTCAATCTGATTTTTAGCCTTACAAGTCTCCACAAAACTTTCCATAAAATAGTGAAAAGGTGATCTGGGTTGGTCTTGAAAGCTCAGATCTTTAACATTTTGAGTTCTAATTTCGCCTTTGAATCTTTTCACATTCTTTCTGGACTTACACTTGTGCATGTCAGAGAGAGCAATGGCCACCAAAACACCACAGTAATGACACTTGTGGAAGGCATCGCTAGACCTGCGTGAAACATGTCTTCAGCAACAGGAAACACCACGCTCCCAACACAAGGCCATGTAAACACCACGCTCTAGCTCACCGAGCTTCTCGTCAACGAGTTTCTCTTTAGGTAACAATATCACAGGGAACAGTTTGATCTTCCCATCGTCAGCAACAACGACTGGATCTGCACCTTGAGTAATCACAGTAATCCTCTTGTGTGTTCCAGATGCCTTTGGCTATTTGGAAATTTTCAAAGCTATCTCCTCGACATTCTCTGTCTCCCCTCCACGTGGCGTCATCCTGATGGTCCACGGCTCCTGCAACGACATTAGCTGGACATTCCAGTCCACCCCCATCTTCCTCGCCCAACATGGGTTCGCCTGCTTCGCCCTAGATCTCGAAGGCCGTGGCCAGTCCAACGGCCTCAAAGCCTTCCTCCCCGATGTCGATCTCGTCGTCGATGACTGTCTCAATTTCTTCACATTCATCACTGCCAACACACAAAGCTTCATGTGCTACAGGCTCTACTTCCGATTAGCATACACAGCTCTCTCTCTCTCTCTACTCAAGGGTGACCACTTTCCAACCCCTTATCCACCACCTTTTGCACATACCCATACCTTTTTTTTTATTTTTTTTAAACCAATCTCCACCAAACACGCCAGACAGACTACTTATCACCAAACCACTTGCAGCACATGTATGGCCATTATAATATTACAATATGCTAGCAACATCAACCCACATGGACCACTTAATTTATTCCATTCTCTGCCCCATACACTCACATGCACGACATCCATTCTCTACTTATTATTATTATTTTTTTTTTGACCCATTCTTTTTATTATTATTATTATTATTTTTATATCTTTTTTTTTTCTCTTTCATCCCACCGTTTCAGAACCCATTACCAGTCTGTTCCCCACTCCCACCTTTATTATTTTTATTCATCATTCTATATTCATCATCCCCATGCTCAATTTAAAAATAAAAAAAAAACAACCAAACATTTGACCAATTTGCACAACACCCATATTTTATTCATCTCCGGGAGCAACCCCGATCACAATTTTACACAAAAAAAAAAAAAAAAAAAAAAAAAA